TATATATATATATAAATTACCCTAGGGCTGGGAGAGTTTGGTGAAGATTAGGAAATCACCACTAAGAGATAGGAGTTTTCTTTCTGAGGTGTTGAAAACATTCTAAACTTAACTGTGGCAATGGTTATACAACCTTGTGAATATACAAAAACCACTGGACTGTATACTTTGAAAAGTGTGAATTTTGTTTTACATGAATTTTATCTCAAATAGCTGTGCAATATAAAGGAAAGAAAGGCAATACATTAAGACAAAAAGGTTGTAGTAAAATTAGAAAGTAAGAAGCATGAGACAGCTAGGCACACCCAGCCGGAGAAGACTGTGGAAAATTCTCCACCATCAAAGGGTGCATAGGACCTTAGTGATGGAGTTTCTACCTTGAAGAATCCACAAGCTTATTCTATACTAATTTCTAATAGTGCTTTTTCTCTTTTAAATACGTATCTAATTTTTTCACCCTATCCTTTCCTTAGACTTCATGGGATTGAATATATAGTACTTTTCAAACCAAAACAAAAAAGAAAGAAAGAAAGAAAGAAAGAGAAAGAAAGAAAGAAAGAAAGAAAGAAAGAAAGAAAGAAAGAAAGAAAGAAAGAAAAAGCAGCCATATAATATTACATTCTTCAAAAAAGTCTATAAATTAAAATGCAGACTCTATCTGTTATATTATTGCTTTGCACATTTTGGCTGCAAGCAATTCCAATGAGTTGGCACCCATTTGCTCATTCTCTCTCATGTGACAGAAGAGTGTTTAAACCAAGAAAAACAAGACATGATTCCATCAGTGTCTCCACCCGTAAAAGTGGCTGCCTCCTGTCTCATCTCTGGAGCTGTGTTGTCTCTCGCATGGACGACTGGGGAAGTCCACCTGATTTCTTCCAGCAGTCCCTCCCTCCTTACTAACTCATCTTCAACAATGCAGGCAAACTTACCCTTCTCCACTGCAGTACGACATGGTGCGGCCCAGGGCATAAGAGCCTGGGTTGCAAATGTCCTGGATTTGAGTCTGAGCCTCACTGCCTACCCACTTAGCCAACTTGGGCAAGTTCTTTTAGCTTGTCTGAGTGATTTTTCCTGGGTTTATGTGAAGATTAAATGAGAGTAGTATGTTAAGCACTTAGTCCAGTGACAGATGCACAGTAATCAGTCTGTCAAGTCCTATGATGATAATTGTTGTTATTGCTCTTACATTTGAATGCTTCTGTGTGTCCTCATTTCCATATAACCAAGTGAAAATTCCCCAGCCTATTGTGCAAGAACTTTTGAAATCTGACCTTAGTCTGTCATCTGCTTACAGCCTTTTCTAAATACACCAGGCAAATCGGTGGCCGTGGGGTTTTGCTCAAGCTCTTTCTCATGTGCTTGCCATGTCCATTTAGAAAAGCCCATTCTTCATTCAAGAAGATGCACAACTAGGAAGGGTTTTCTCTGTGTTCTAACAGCATGTTAGGGGCTGGAGAGAAGTTAGTCATTTTACAGGCAAAGCAGACAGGATTTAGGTAAATTGAATAAAAGCAAAAGGAATACAGTAGAAGAAATGACAATTTCTAAGACTGCGTCCAGAACTATACATGTTGACGGTGCCCTTTAATGATGTGGGAAAACCCAAGGGGACTAAGGTTTGGAGAATGTGTAATACAGACCTCTACATTAGTTATATGAGGTTTGAGAAGCTAATCAGATATTTAATCTGGTTTAATAAGTAGCAGAATTTACATTATGACTCTGGGGTTTGGAGTATTAAGGCTATGGATATAAAATTGGGAGTCATAGATGATGTCATCGGACAGTAGCTGGAGAATCCTAGGGAAACTGAGACAGTTAAAGATCAACCAAAGGAAGAGAAATTTGTTGGAAATGTCTGTGTGAATTTTCTTACCCAGTACTATTTGGGATTAAGTACCATCTTATTTATCTTTAATGCCCATTGCTCTCTATCGCAAAAATGCTCAATAAATGTTTGCTGAATTCATTTCAATATATAAATTGAAGGGCCTCTTTGAAATCTCCCAGCCCTGCACTTTAAAGATTAGGCAAGACTTGTAAAGAAGCTCACAAGTCAACTCCACCACTCCATCATCGAGCACAAGATGGGATGTGGCAGACAGGTCCATGACTGTTGTGGACAGGTTCGCCTTCCCTCTTCCCTTCTCTTTCCCTGCCCTTATGCCCCCAAGGCCACACTCCAAAGGGCACACTTCCAGTGCCTGTGAGGGAAGAAGACACACAGTCCCGAATCGCACCACAGTTCTCAGAGTGAAATGCCAGGATCTTAAGAAAGCAGCAGCTGCTGGAACATAAGGGTGACCTCTCGGAGCTCTCCTTTGTTCCAGACTGAGCACCTCAGTGCGTACAGCACCGAGTTTTCTGAAAGGCTGTGTGGGAAACTCTCAAGTATCTTGTCATGCTTTTCCCATTGAGGTTAATGGTTTAATCTCCACTGTTTTCTGACCTCCTTGTTCTATTCTGAGCAGACCGCCATCATCCTGTTTCACCTGGACAAACTCAGTAGCCTCCTACCTGTTCTCCCATTTTCCATTCTCTCCCACAATCAGCCACCAAAATAGTGCAAATTTTGGCTCTGTTAGGACACCACCTACCAGGAACTTCCACACATTTCCCCACTACAAAATTCTAAGGCTGAAATTCTGGGTTTGTCCTCAACCATCATTTCCAGGAAATCTTTCCAGTATTAGTGCCTTACCAGCCTTATCTGGGGGGCGGGGATTAAAAAGCTTCATTTCCCCCTCACGAAATAGTCGCTATGACTGCTCTGTTGTGTCTCAATACCTGACATTTTCTTTGCCCATGCTGCTTCATCTGTTTCTCAGTCTGTTAATTTCCTGACTACTCCTCAGGAAACAGGCAAACTCCCCGCTTCCTGGGGTGGGGCTTCCTTATTCATCCCAGATAGAAACAAAAGTCCCTCCCTGTACTTCTAGGACAACTGTGTAATTTGTATTTTCTAAAAACAAAACAAAACAAAAAGATTATGGTGATGAGGATGATGCAGAGAGGCTAAGAAGGAGAGAAGAGGGGATTGTTTTTCTGCCTTGGGATTCTGAATGAAAAAATTTAAACACAGTACACTAGCAAAGCATATGGAAGCAACTCTAATAATTTTAACTGAAGGGTTATATGGGTAACCACTTAACCCAGGATTGTATTTATGGTTAATCTCCACTGCATACCAATATTGGGTTTTCTTAAATTTGGAGCTCTGGTCAGAGGTGCCACATGGGGGACATCTTTTTTCATTAAGTTTATTGGTACATTTTAGGTATACATTACAGTTAACATTCATCTCTGGGATCTTGTACCTTTACATGATGTATCTTGGTTCTTACCTTTTCCCCATTCCCCTGCCCTCCCTTCACTCTCTCCACCCTCCCCTATTTATAGACTTTGTTTCCATTTTTTCCTTTTCTCATATTTTTCTTTTCCCTTATTTCCTTTCACCTACCCTTCTCATTTTCCTTACTCTTTCAGACCTTTTCTTCCTATTTCACATTATCAATTACACAATTTGAACCTTATTTACACTTTTAGTTTTTCACACTAAACTATTTGGTATTTACTTGTGTATCCTATTTCTTTCACTTAAAAGTATGGCCTCAGTGTACATCCATTTAGTTATAAATGTCTCTAGTTTCTCATTCTTTATGGCTGAGCAATACTCTGTTTTATAAAAACAAACAAACAAACAAAAAAACACGTCATCTTTATCCAGTCTCCAGATGATGGGTATTTGGGCTGTTTCCAAGTTTTAGGTAATACAAACTGTGCTGCTATAAACATGGGTGCACATATGTTGCTGTGGTATAATTATTTTAATTCTTTTGGAAAGATATCCAGCAGAGGGATAGCTGGGTCAAATGGGACTTCTAATCCTAGTTTTTGAGGATCTCCATATTGATTCCCACAGTGGTTGCACCAGTCTGCACTCCCGACAACAATGGAGCAGGTTCCTTTCTCCCCACAACCCCACCAGCATTTGTTATTGGTTGATTTCTTGATAGGGGCTATTCTTTCTGGGTGAGGTGGAATCTCAGTGTTGTTTTCGGCTACATCTCTCAAATGGCCAGTGGTGTTGAACATTTTTGTTTTGTTTTGTTTTGTTTTTTTTGAACATTTTTTCATATATTTATTTGCTGTTTTTACTTCTTTGTCTGAGAAATGTCTGTTCATTTCAGATGCCCATTTTTTAATCAGGTCTTTATATTTGGGGGTCTGATTTTATATATTCTAGATAGTAAACCTTTGTCTGAGGAACAGCTGGTAAAAATTTTTTCCCACATTGTAGGTTGTCTCTTAGTTCTGTTGATGGTTCCTCTTGTAGTGCAGAAGCTTTTTAATAAAATGGGATCCCAGTTGTTGATTCTTTGTGCTAGTTCCCATGCTACTGAGGATTTGTTCATAAAGTCTTTTCCTATGCCAGTCTTTGAGAGTTCTACCTAACTTATCTTCCAGCAAGTTTTGTATTTCTGTTTTAATATTTAGATTTTAATCCATTTCAATTTTAGTTTAGTGCATGGTGAAAGACAGGGGTCTAGTTTTAATCTTTGGCAAGTTGGAATCCAGTTTTTCCAACACCATTTATTAAAGAGGCTATCTTTCTTCCACTGAGGATGGTTGGCTCCTTTGTCAAAGATGAGGTAGCTGAGTATATCTGGAGTTGTTTCTGCATCTTCTAATCTATTCCACTGATCCTCAGGTCCACTTTTTTGCCAGGAACATGGGGGACTTTTAGCAACTGTGGGTTTTTTTTTTTTTTTTTTTTTTTGGTACCAGGGATTGCACTTGGGTCCTTGAGCTTGCAAGGCAGGCAGCAAAGCCACTGAGCTAAATCCCCGGCCCCCTTACAACTGTGTTTCTTATGGTCACAGTGTCAGTGAGCATCGTGGAAAAAGTAAGGAATAAAAAGTGGGCAAAAAGAGCATTCCACGATGTGAGATGCAGATGCACAGGTGAAGGATTTTAAATTTCAAGCAGGGTGTTGACAGGATCAGACTAAGCTTTTGAAAAAAAAAAGATTGTAAATTTGGTGCCAAGTGTAGAGTAGACACTGGAGACAGGAAAGCCCCGGGGGAGGCACGGCAGGCCGCGCGTGCTGAGAGTGGACGGGCTGCATTCTTTGCCCGAAAGTCACTGCTGTCTCTGCTTCTTCTCAGGGCTTCCAGGACAGCTGAGGAGACCTTACCACAGAGCACCACGCAGTAGATGCTGAAACATCGCGCTCCAGGATAAGAACCAGTAACATGGCAGCACCTATTTGAAAGGATTAGAAACCAACAGACTTCATTTAGAAAGAAACGATGTCCAAGAAAGGGCGAAGTAAGGGCGAGAAGCCCGAGACACTCATTGTTGCCCTTCAAGCTGCCAACGAAGACCTCAGGACCAAGCTCACAGACATTCAGATAGAGCTGCACCAGGAGAAGTCCAAGGTGAGTGAGGGCCCCCGCGGCCATGGCCTTGAGAGCAGTCCTGGTTGCGTCCATGCCCAGCACCACCCCATACACGGAGATTCTCTTGTCCCCTGTCCTCAGCTGCAGCACCGCACACCTAGAAAGGGAGATAAGTGTACTCACTAAGCAGATCCCCACCTCCTTAGTGAGGCTGGTCTAGGAAATTAGATTAAACAAATAGAAGAACAGCTCAGACAAGTCCACTCTTCGTCTTATAGACTCCCTTCTTCAGAATTCAGAGCAGTCCTTCAAGGATGCATCACAGCTCATCACATCGTGTCCCTGCGCTGCTTAGTACTTTCCCTGTCTCTCATTCAGTTAAGGAATTTCCCTCCCACTATAGAATGTGAGCTCCAGTCCCCTTTGACTCATTTCCACTACTGCTCTTTTCTTTTTTGGCAGTCCTGGGGATTGAATTCAGGACCTTGAGCTTTCAAGACAGGTGTGGCACCACTGAGCTAAAACCCTGGCTCTCAACTACTGCTCTTGATCACGTTGCTCCAGGCATCTGCTGGCTCAGGAGAGATAAGCCCACCATCTTCTGGGCTTTTGTTCTTGTTACTTCTCTAGTTGGCCACTGGTTCCTTTCCTCACCACAGTTTCTAAAATAGACCACTTCTCCCAGTGCACGTTGCTCTCCCAAAGCCTGTTTGACATATATATATACACACACACACACTTGTATATATATTGTATATATATATATATATTGTTTGTTTAGTGCTTATCTTTCCCAAGTCGAGTGTAATCTCTGTGGCAGCAGGACCTAGCTTACTTGTTATCCCTTAGAACCTAAATATCTCTAGAACTTAAAATCTTAGAATTTATTTGTTGAAAAAACTAGAGAAATGAATTAAAGATGGTTCACTCCTTATACCTAAGTGTCTTTGTCAGTAAAATTAACCATCTCATAGGGCTGTGATAAGGTGTGAATCAGAGAAGTCCATAAAGAACTGTGCTTATGAGGATTAAACGGGAAAGTTGTGAAGAGGTGCGAAAAGGTTGCCTGACTCATAGCAAGTGCGAAACTTTTTAATATTAGTATTCTTTCTAATATTCTCTGGATTTGAGTTAATCGCTAATAAAAACCTTTTTGTTACTTCACATCTCATCAGTTAAATGGATATGAAAACACAAGTCTTACCAAAGCAAAACAATGTAAGTATCAAGCAAAGTCATGGATAAGGAAGAATTTATAATACTCAACCTGCAGGAGACAGTTTTGCTTGGAGCACACCAGGGACAACTATGTCAGCATAAACTTCCTTTGCTTGAATACCTCTGTAAATAACATTCTTGATCAGCAGGTAGTATGATACAATCCAACAAATACATTTATTCCTTTTTTTTCTGCTCTTTCTTATTTGATGTCACTGCTACATTTTAATTTTTTATTTCTCCAAAATCTATCTCTTCTTGTTTCAACAAAAATCATAAATGGACTTCGGATAGCCCAACCCTATTGCCTCCTGTTTCAGCCGAGCATTGACCTTGGATAAATAAACCTCAATGTGAAGTTTATGAAGGAACTTTCTTAGCGTTCATGAAGCAAAAGGAAACAAGACTTCATTTTTAAAAGCATTAGTTAGAAAGTCAGAAGGTCTAAGAATTATGCGTCTTTCTTCTTGAAGATGAATTTTAGTTATCTTAACATCTCTCTGTCCAACTCATTTGAGTGAATCTTGTTTGTTCCTATCTGTGTTTTCCTAGCATTACTGTATCATAGAATAACCTGGGGGAGCTTGTGAAAAACTGCGATTTCTGGGCCCACAAGCCAAGGAATCTGATAAAGTAGGGTGAGTGAGGATGAGGACTTGTAACTCTGTGAAGTAGTCTGGCAAATTCAGATGGATGGATGCCGACACCATGGATCCCTTCCAGCTTTCACCATCCACGAAAAGTTTTTACTTTCCTGGGACAACATTTGAAGGGAGGTAGTCTCCCTGAATTTTTGTAACAGGATGATAAATTACATTCATAGGAGGAAGCTTACTGGTCTAGAAACTGGTTGCCATAAATATTGCTGTGTGACAGAAAACAAATTCATGGCATCTCAAAAAAGGGCAAACACCAAGTGCCCCATGTCCCATTGCTGCCATTCTCCACACTCAGGCCTTTTAAAGTGGGTCTCAAGCTTGAAGAAGGCTGCCCGTCTGTCTAGGGGCTGGCCCTGGAGTCTAAGCCAGCAGGCAAGTGCAATCTTCCCCTTCTCTGACAAGACCCTGGCACTCCCTGCCTTATTCTTCCTGCTCCTGGCTTTATCCTTCCCTCTCCTTTCTGTGGCAGTTAATGACAGTCTCAGCACAGAGGCAAAAGCAAACCCTCACTGCCTGTCAGCAGCCGTCCTCAGAGAGCAAAGGATCTAGAGGGCAAACAAATCATAAAGTAGTTTTATTGTAAAGAAATGTGATTGTGTTTTTCAAAGGCCCAGTCTTTAAGAGAAAGACTGAGAACAATGGCAAGACATGAATTTATATTCTCAGCTTGCTTCCTGAGCTCTGATGATAAAATGACCGCTCTGCTACTGGCAATGAACTAAGTAAGGAGGGGAAACCTTTGGGGCAGTGGGCTATTACTCATCTTTCCAGCAAGACAAATAATCCCACTGACACTTCCAGAATGACATCTACGCAGAGACCAGTGTCGTAGGTGCTTTGGCTGAGAATATAAGCAGCTACAACTCCTTGAATGTTACTGCATATCAGACACTCTAACAGGCACACTCCATCCTCTCACAATCCTTTTACACTTAATCCTTTAGTGAGCCTGAGCTGATTATGAAGCCCCTTTGTGTTTTCCTGTCCTCATCTATTAAGCAAGCCAATAATGGCATCTGTATACGAGCGGATGTGTGCTAATTTGTGAACAATTTGTTTGTGTCCAGGCTGTTAAGTATTTCAGTGCAGTTATCTCCTTTGACTTTCATCCTCATGTTCAGGCATTGCTGCCATCTCCATTTTACAGATGAGGAACCTTCCTGACATGTAGGAGGTGCTCAGGACTACTTGCTGAATGAACTTAAATGATTCTTTTTAAAAGCTTTCCTAACAACCTGAGGCACAAGCACTGTTATAGGTTGGATACCTTAGGCTTGGGTGGAGAAAGGAGTTTTGCCCAGGTCTGTCTTTTCCTTGACAGCAAGTTGAGACATTCACCTGTGATACCTATGATACATTCACCTTTCCCTGGACACTGTGAGGCCACGATTCAATCTTCAGTGTGTATGCACACAGTAAGGATTGCTGTGAGATGGGAAATCCATCCAATGAATTCCCTGTGGTGTTGTTCTCTGCCTTGGAGTTGGTCTACCGCCGCAACGAGTAGTGTGGGGAAAATGACAGGAGATGAAGGGACAGGAGCAGAAAACAGGGGCACATAGCAGCCCTGGGTTACAGGGCCTAGGAGGAGTCAGCTCCAGGCAAAATGCTGCCAACACGGGAACCACCCATTGGAAACTGCAAAGCGCTTTCACACTTTGCCTCATGTTCATCTCAGTAAGCCTGGGACAAAGGCATGTTCTCATTTCACTAAGGAAGAAAATAAGGCTCAGACCATTTAACTCAATTGCTCTCAGTGGCATAGAAAGTGGAGGAGCCAAAATGGGAACTGCAGTCTTCTGTATGAGAGTGGAGATCAAGTTAATGCTGAACCTCTGACTCCACTGCATTCTGTGGTCCCTAGGGCATTCAGAAAATCAGCCATCCTGGAGTCTACAGCTTCTAGGTTCAGGGCCCAAATGTGGGTGGGGTATTTCTTGCTATCTGCACCCTTACTTTTCAGGAAGCATCACAGGCTGTAAGTGAGAAATATAAAAAAAGAATTCTTTGTACTCCCCCAGGTTGGGTAAGTCTTCCCTTATAAGCAGCCTTCCCACAGTGGTAGCTCTTTCCTCCTTCACATCAGCTGTTGACGTCGCTTGGCACCCAGGAAAGCCTCCGCCAGGTTGCTGTGAGCTTAGCTCTCTAGGAACATCCGGTGCAGATAATCCAAGCCAAAGCTGCTGTGAGCCTGCCTTGCCTCGATAACCCCTCAGCCCTTTCTAGTTTTAATCCTATTCTTGGACGTTCACATTAAAATCTCAAATCATCACCAGTACTATCTTGATAGAATTTACACTGGCATCTTCCAAAGGCCAGACCAGAATTAAAACAAGAGATAAAAAATACAATGTGAAGCCTCTGTAAAGTGATCATGAATCCTCATCAGTTTTCCACCAGACATCCAGGGTAAAGCCATCTGGGAGCCCATGCTCACAGCTCTGCTCAGGGCTCCCTGTTGACATACATTCCAAGGGTCATCCAAGCTAGGATTTGATGCCGCCAATGCCAAGGAACTCAATACATAATGAGGAAACCCAGATTTATCTCTGAATACTTCTTTATGCATAGAATACATTTGTTACAGTCTTAATAATGTAATATAGTAATGCTGATCTCATCACCATACGTGGGTACTTTATATATGTTGGTGGTGGCATTAATATAACATTGTGTAATATAATGTTATTATACACAGCAATATTCATCAAAATTAGCAATATAGTCTCTTTTATGAATTAATAGTGCTCTGGACTTTCTAAAGGGCTTCTGCCCAGATATCTAAATATTCATCCTCACAATAGGAGAATGCTCTCACCAAGCTTAACTGGCTAATTAGAAAACTGAGCTGACAGAAGTAAAGTAGCTGCCTGAGCTTTCAGAGGGGGCACAGAGACACAGGCTCGACCCAGACCTGGCTCCTCACCCACACGGGACATGCCTTCTTTCCATTGCGCTCATGTAGAGGTCGCTTCTCACTTCTCCTGTGAAATTACGGTGAAATAAATCCTACCAATATTCTGCAGCTTCCTAGGAAGTTAAGGGATAAATGTAAAGACTTAAAGAAGACCTCCATACGAGCTTGTTATTACATGATTGAGCTGAAATGTTTCTCCATAAAATATTTCCAATAACCAAAATTCTTTATTTCTGCTATTAATTTTTGCTATTTCAAAATATTACCCTCTTCATAACTTCGTTTTTTACTGAAGATTAGCTCATCTTTTTGTATTAATCTCAAGATTTACATTAAAATATTTCAATATATTCCCCTATTTGTTCCATTTACACTGCAAATAGTTACTACAAAAAATCCTATGTCTCACCACATTTCAGTCACACCCTTTGGCATTTCTTCACTGTGAAACATATCTCCCAAGCTTCAGAAGAAAGAGCCATACCTAGAAATTCCACAAAAATTGCCAGTTTCCATGACAACTAGAATAAGTGGACATAAGAAATGTCAAATGTTGCTCAATTCCTTTGAATTTTGTTCATTTTTGTAGATTCTCTTGAGTAATGTACAAGAAGACAGTGTTTGTTTATATTTGCTTTTATCTTCACTATATATTGCTTTTATCTTGGACTATATTTTCCGTGCACCTTTATTTTTAATTTTTGTTAATATCTCCTCCTTCATCTACACAAAAGATTAGTGTATATAACTTGAGAGAAATGACGGAATTATAAGGAGATACAACCAAATCCTACACAGAATTTGATATAAACTTAAAGATATCCTACTCTAATATTACCATACATGTAATAGTACCTTTATAGTACAAACTATTTTTCACATGCATTATCTAATTTAATCTTTGAAATACCAATAGCAGGATTTCTCAATCAGCTTTCCTAGGGGTAGCAGATGTTGTAATAGCACAAAGCAAATCCATTTTCTTGCCCTTTGTCCACTTTTATTACAGTCACTTTTATTTTAGGAAGACTTGCTAAAATGTTTAGTAAATTGTTAACCAACAGCCCCGGCTGGAAGCAATGACACTGTTCCAAATGCCTCATATAAATACATCCTGCCCAGACTGAAGAGGACTAAGTTCCTGTCACTTGAGCTGGTAACATCTGCAGTGTGTTATGTAGACAAAAAGCTGAGTTTTTAAATAAAATAAAAATGAAAAAAAAATAAGGCCCTTTCTCTAAAAACTGTTATCTAAAACAGGAACCAATAAGTTCTTCCTATTAAAGAAAAGCTGATAAATATTTTAGGCTTTGTGGTCCAAACAGTCTCTGTGAAACTACTCAACTCGACTGTAGCATGAAAGCAGGTTTAAGTGATGCAAAAATGAACGGGTATGGCTGTGGCCTTAATAAAAGTTTATTTATAAAGGTAGGGAGTGGAACAGAAAGCTGCAGTACACTCACCCTGGTCTGAAAAATATCTTCTTCCATTCACTATAGAAAGATAGGGAATATGACCTAGGTTCTCCTTACTGAAGCGCTGAATGAAAACATCAAGGTGGGCTTTCTTACATCTTTGGAGCTTTTGTTTTGTTGCAGTGTTCTGTGGGGAAAGGATGGATGGGGACTGCTCTGGTAACTGTAAAGACTGCATTCTCTGACTGTATGACATAAGGTATTTTTGCCTCTAGTCAGGAAGCTACCCAGTGAAACATGCTAACCCCTTAGCCTTTAATCCACATTGGCCTTCTGGCTGTTTCCTCTGCCCTGTGCTGCGAACCAAGGAATATTCAGTGGTAGCCTTCTACAAGCACTGGGAGGAGAGGAGGTAGTTAAGGATGACCATACATACAAAAGTCATAACATAAAGAAAAGTATGGATCAGGCCAGTAAGGAAATCCTAAGAAACAAAGGCAAGAGAGCTTTGTCCTGGGTGAACAGGTTCGCATATCAGGCAAGGATGTCATCTAGCTGAGGATAAAGAGCATCACAGAAGGAGCAGAGGGAAGAGTAGGTCAGGGAGAGGAAACTATAAGCACCAGAAAGGAAATGTACCACTTCCAGAAAATAGCCTAATACCAGCTTGGAACAGGGTCAGATGAACAGAGGGAGGAAGGTAACAGGAGCTGTAGTCCAACCAGCTTAGATGAGAGGAGGGCAGGCTTAGGTGCTGGGATTTTATTCTACAGAATACAGGGGCTGGGGGTGATTTTTGAGCAGGTGCATAAATAAAGCCAGAACCAAGCTTTACTGAAAGATTATCATGAGCAATGTGGGAAAATTTATGTTCATTAAATCAACCTTTCAGTCCTCTAGAGCAATTTTGAACAAACAACTATAGCATAAGCAACACATGCAAGCCATGCCTGTGAGCTTTAAAATTCTTATAGCTACAACTTTATAAAGTAAAAAGAAGCAGGATTATTTCTAATAATATAGTTTGTTCAACCTAATGCTCAGAAATATTAAAGCTTTAACATATAGTCAATATAAAAATGATTAACAAGAAATTTTACATCTTTTATTTCACAGTATGTCTTGCACTTCAAGTTTTTTGCACTTAAAGAAACCCTCAATTCAAACTTAGATATTGAGAGAGCTCAATGTGGCTGGTGGCCATTGCACTAGACAGATGGCACAGGACATATGAGAGGACAGAGGTCCAGGAAGGGACTTAGGCCTAAGCAGGAGGAGAACCGAAGGACATTTATTTGAAGATGCCTGGCTGTTTAGCACACCGAGTTCTCTCGTGCTTTGAGCTCTTTCAGAGCAAGCCTGAGTCATCTGTAGGAAAATGGATGTGTCCTGAGACCATAATCTTAAATCAATCAGAAACACAAGCTTAAAGATCATATGGGTTCTATACAGGAGAAACACAAATTATTACTAAAGAGCAAAACAAAAGATAGACAACAGGGAGTAGGGAGGTAGATCTTTCTTAAGCAGGAAGGGGATCAAAGTTGGAGGGAGGGACAAGGGAGGGAAGAGAGAAGAACAAGAAGGGATGAAAAAAGGAATTAAGCTCTGTTATGTACATGTGCCAGCTCCACACAAGGAATGTAAAATAATATACTACAAACATGGAGTATTGAAAAAATTTTTTTTAAGGAATGACCATTGTAAGAGCAATTGTTTTGGTTTTTAAAATAAAATACTTATAAAATGCTACGAGGACTTAGAAAATACTGTAATAACTAAGGTACATAAATTTTTGAGGTAAGCAAAAATCTGAAACATTTCACACTATAATCATAATGAATCTTAATTTTTTTAGCTCAAAAGGCTCTTGACTAGTATTTTGTAAAATCTTCCAACTTGAAAAGCAGCAGAGATACAGTATCACTGAAGTAGACAATACTCTTGGGGCTCCCATATTTTTGTCTCCATTTCCAAGTTATTTTGAGTATCAAGGGTGTGGGTGTGCATGTGTGTGTTGTGACAGAAACAGATTCAGAGGGAGAAGACAAAGAGAGTGTGACGGCAGAGATGAAATAGGGGAAAGAGGGTACAGAATTAGACCACTCAGACTTTTTCCAGCTACTAATGGCAAAACCCCAACCACAGCTACTGAGCCAGACTAAGATAGTTGTTGACCTACATCGACACCTATCACTGGAAACAGAACAAAAAACAAAAGTTTATTTTCAACCAGAATTCTTGAAAGGTGATATGCTTAGAAAGAAAAGTGTATTAAATTACTTGAAAAAGTGGCTTGGGGAAGAGCAAATTAGAGTGACAGGAGTGATAGAGAAGGATGCAAAGAAACAACCTTAGAGGCTTGGGAAGGAACAAGGTTGCAATACTAAGAAAGTTCAAATATCTATATTCTTCACTTTCCCATTAGCAGCAGCAGATTCTCTTCTGGAAGAAAAAAGAAGGGAGAGAGATATTTTATATTATCGCTTTAGGTACTAGTTTATTAGCCTGATTACAATTTCAAACTTTCAGCTATCCAGAGATATCCACATTTGCCATTTTGGATCTGGCTCAGGTTGTGTGGTATGAGAACCTCTCTCTGTGTCTTGCATCGAACTCTTCTGTACCAAGGAGGAAACCCATTAGAGCAGTGCCTCCTAATCTTCATGTGTTTACCCACTACCTGCAGATTCGTTAACATGCACATTGTGATTCACAGTATCACCAGCTCCCTCCTGTGCTATGATCTGAGTCCTTGTTTGGAAGTAAAGAAGACTGAGGTTGACAAAACAGCATGCAGCAAGCAGTGGGGAATGGCTGAATGTATGTTCAATTCAAAGAATGAAAGGAAAAGCTCCCCAATAGTCAGGGAGGGGTTCCTTAGAGGCTTTTTATACAGCTTTTCCTATGGGTGAACGTGACCAAGTGGAGGGATGTCCCTGGTTGCAGGTAGGTCTTCCATGTCAGGAAAGTAAGCTGCTATCTTTACATTTCATTTCCTTCAGGATTTCTCCTATTTGTTTAGGGAGGTGTTCTTTGTCCCTTGCATTCCATTAGGCCCTGATAGTCTGCTTAAGTTAATTATTCAGACCCTTTGCTATGTTTACTCACTTAAACCCCAACTTTCAGATCACTTCAGGTTAACCATCCAGGACCTGTGCCGTGTCTGTCTAACTTCCTCTATCTCTCAGCTTCAATAAGTCTGGGATAGAGCACAAGAATCTCTATTTCTAACAAGCTTCTCTGCAGACCACACATTGAACAGTAAGGCTCTAGAACATCAAATATTTGTCTGAACAAAGTAATATAAATAGTCTCAGGTGTATTCCTGGGTTTAAATGCTGTGGTGCCCCTCCCTCTGAGCTCACAGTGGCTGGCATTTGAAAAGAAATGAGGAATTAACAATCACAGCAGCGTAAACTGCAGATCCTGCCTGGGAGCACACCTTCTCTTTGAGGCTCACCTCTTTTATCTTTTTGCCTCTTTGGTTTTAGGTATCCAAGCTTGAAAGAGAGAAGACTCAAGAAGCAAAGAGAATTCGTGAGCTGGAACAGCGCAAGCACACGGTCCTGGTGACAGAGCTCAAAGCCAAGCTGCATGAGGAGAAGATGAAGGAGCTACAGGCCGTGAGGGAGAATCTCATCAAGCAACATGAGCAAGAAATGTCAAGGACAGTGAAGGTGAGGGACGGAGAGATCCAGAGGCTCAAGTCTGCTCTCTGTGCTCTCCGGGATGGCAGCAGTGACAAAGTAAGGACAGCGCTCACCATCGAGGCCCGGGAGGAGGCCCGGAAACTGTTTGATGCAGAGCGTCTTAAGCTCTTACAGGAAATTACGGACCTGAAAATGGCCAAGAAGCAAGTGGATGAGGCGCTGAGCAATATGATCCAGGCGGATAAAATCAAGGCTGGGGACCTTAGGAGTGAGCACCAGTCCCACCAAGAGGCCATCTCGAAGATCAAGTGGGAGTCTGAGCGGGACATTCGGAGGCTGGTTAGTAATTGCACCAGACCAGGGCAGACACATGCTTGTTCCAGGTCCAGAGCCCCGTGGAGTTTGCTTTTTCACATGTTCCCTTATTGTTGGATTTTAAACAATGCCCCCAAATAAAAAAATATAAGATAGCTAGTTAGGTAGACAGATAAAGAGATATATGCCCAGGCCCAAACTGGAATTGTGGGATATTTGAATCACCCTCTTCATAATAACTAGATTCTCCCAGCTCTATGTATATGGAGAATGTCTATTCAATAACTCCTGTTTTCTTGGATGTCTATAAAAATATTCTAAATTATGAACTCATGCAAATTCAGCATATTTTGTGGACATTTGTAAAATATCATAAGGCTTTATAGAGGATGATTCTGTGCTTTCCAAGATGTCTGAAGAGCCACTGGAAACATCCTGAGTGACTGACTCACCTGCTTCTTTTTATTCCAGGAAAAGTATCTGAAAGCAAGACATAGAGCCATAAAATCCCTACACATTTTAAGTAGATTTTCCCCTCAAAATGAATAAGGACTGTTAAAAACAAGGACCATTATAATTTTTTGATTGGACATAATTTCTCAGTACCTTGTCTACTATTTCAAGACTTATGTCACACCCTACAGAGTTGGATCATTCTTTTTAATATGAATGACCAAAAGTCACATAGGTGTCTCACTGTGCTCAAATGTAAAACAAATGTATGACCTAAAAGCTACAGTGTCCTGGGTTATTTAGAAACAGCATTTATATTCATCTGCACTCAGATATTTAGGGTTAGCTATACTTTAGTTATATCATATTAAATTAACCATTGTTTATTAGAATATATTTTCTGCTTCTCTAAAAACTGTATTTTTAAGAAAAACCCCTTTTGTCTGCCAACTCTATACAATTATTTTCTAAGAATCAAACTTATGTTTTGAGGATGTTTCTAGGATTTCAATTTTAAGTTAAAAATAGTTACCACAGAACATTTTTAAAAGCTAAACGTGTGATTTTCTTTGTACTATAAAATAGTATAACCATAAAATGTTGTTCTTGCCAAACTTTCTGAATCTTTTAAATGTGCTGTTTACTGCATTGTTTGATGATAAAGACCAAATCCAGTGCAGGAAGTATTGGTCTCTGCCCTGCTTTTGGTTTCTCAAAGAACAATGGCTGCTGAAAAGAGAATCAAGACCTTGAACTCTGGAGTTGGCAGGTAGGTAAATTTTTAAAAACGGCCTTGTATTACATTTTTCTTTTGTTAATGATTTTCAGTGTAAAATCTATGAGTGTATCCACTTGTTAATCTGTACATTTTTTCATGGCTTTCTTTTACTATCACATCACTGAAGTAGACATGAAATCCCTCTTAATAACAATGTAAAATCTAAACTACCTGAAGAGTAAGAGATTCAAAAATTGGGTGCAAGCAGAATAACATCAGAAACTAACTGCTTCAATAAGATACATGCACACTTTTCATTTTTCCTTTCTTTTAAGCATCCTATCCCCACATCCAGCTCTATTCCTGGGACTGGAATGGAAAGAAATAGGCATTGCATTGTCTAGAAAATTTCCCAGAGAATATTGGTGCATACTACTTCCTGTGTGACAACTAGAGCTTTTTGTTTGATCCCTATAATCTAAGTCAGAATCTATGCTCTTTGCCACTATGCAACAGAGTTTTCTCAATATTAATTTCTAGATAATCAGCGGGGTATGGTGGTGCATGTCTGTAATCTGAGCACTTGGGAGGCTAAAGCAGGAGGATCACCATGAGTTTGAGACAGTCTGAACTACAAAGTGAGACCCTCCCTCAAAAAGGAAAAAAAATTGCTAGATATTCCATGGATAACCCCTTGGGGAAATGCTGGGAGAATATGGGTAATCTTGGAGCCAGAGTAGCAGAGTGCCTGAGAGAACCAGGCTTCACCACGTATCAGCCCAGATAATTGTAATCAAGTACTTAACCTTCCAGGTTCTCAGTCATCATATGTAAAATGGTGAAACAGAACCTACTGATAGGATTACTATAAAATAAGATGTGTGATTTTCATATTACAGTGCTTCCACTATTTTTAAAAAATGGGTAAATCTCCATTATAATGATGGTGATGAAAATGACTCTATGGACTGATGTGTAATGGAATGATTTCCCAGCAAGTTCAGTTAGGTAGAGTACATTACAATCAACTAGAAATATGCAAATCTACAGCAATATGAAATAAAACACTATACAGGACAAGTCTGACAAGTAAATGTGTTGCTCAGCTATGAATAACACAGTTCTCTAGAAAGAGATAGAAACTAAAGATGCTACGTTTCTCCCAAATTAATAGAAGAGCGTTTGATTTCATACTGAATTATCAAGTATATTAAGGATCATGCAGACTTACCCCAATGCCCTCTGCAAATCGACCTAAAATTTAATCAGGTTACTTGGAGTCAGTAGTTCATAAGCATTTATGTATAGAAAATATGTGACAGTGTAATACAATTTCTGTCCCAAATGCATCTCTGCCCAACCCCACTAAATTAAAGAGCACAGCAAAAATGGATTCATACAAAGTGACTGGCTAAATGCAAGAAACATTTTTAGAAAAAGAAAAACAGCACAATGTTTGTGCTGAATGCCTTTCTTTATCTGTTTTGAATATACACATAAAATATAATGAAATGAGAAGAAAGCTTTTATCCAGTGGCTATACTATCTTCAAAAATTGTTTATAGATACTCATTTCATTAGTCCTTATCCAGAAAAAGCAAAAAGGTTTCAGACCAATGAAATGCTAATCAATTGGAATAGAATATCTGTGGCACTTAGTTGAGAAATACTTCTGAGGCCATGCCAGTCTAAGTACAATTGAGTATTGGGATCGATAAATATATCCCACAGATGTAGGAGGAAAAACATTGCCTAGTACCTCCAGATATTTTCCATCCCTCTTCTAGTCCCAACTATGATTTTCTGACAACAGTGATAAAGTGGTTGTTAAGAACTGGCTGCTCTGAAATTTAGACAGGCAGGGAAAGATAAGTAACATGAACCAGTCAAAGGACTTTTTTCCAAATACAAACAGCTTAGTCTTAGAAAAACATTGGGCAAGTGGGAAGTCTGTAGTTATTCAGTTAGAAATGAACAGATAATAATAGAAATTATTATTTAGAATGAACACAAATGTTTATTTCCTCCAAAGAAGATGCAACAAAAATTGTCCTGGGATACATTGTCATGTAATATTCAGTATCTGTCTTTATTAGTACTAGTCACCCATTTTAAATTAACCTCACCTTTCCATATATATCTGACTCACGTCATGTCAAACAGTATATTGAATGAAAACATCCATACAGGATATACTGCAAAGACAAAAATCACTCTTTTTTTTTAGACAGGCTCTCACTATGTAGTTGAGACTGACCTGGAACTCACTATGTGGCCCAGGCTGGTCTCAAACTCACAGCAATCCTCCTGCCTCAGCCTCCCAAGTGCTGGGATTGCAGGCATGCACCACCATGCCCGGCTAAAAATCACTCTCTTTGCCACTTAATTAACCTAGAGTAAGCCTTTAGTACACAAAGTTGCCCCATCTCATCAATGAGTTCAATATACTTGCCATAGTCATGATTATTTTTTTCTGCATCAATCAGAAGTTAAACTCATACAAATGTAAAAATGCATTTTTTGCAGCACTGTTAAATAAAACATTCTGGTTCTCATTTATTCAGATGGATGAAATCAAAGCCAAGGACAGGATCATTTTTTCCCTGGAGAAGGAGCTGGAGACCCAGACAGGCTATGTACAGAAGCTCCAACTGCAGAAAGAGGCTCTGGACGAACAGCTCTTCCTGGTGAAGGAGGCTGAGTGTAATATGAGCAGTCCAAAGCGAGAGATCCCAGGAAGGGCAGGAGATGGCTCCGAACACTGCAGCAGTCCGGTAAGGCCACTCACATTGGTGGAGGAGGGCAGGAGTCATCTTTTATTTAGTTCCCAAGTTTTACTTTTCCCTTAAGCTCTTTTTCTGTATACTACAGAGGGATCAATTCTATGCCCTACTGTAAAACCATCCAGTACCTTGGGAATAGGGTAAAAAACAGTAGACAACAAAGTCTGCACTGCATTAGCAGATCATATGAGAATTATAAATCTCTTTAATTCCCTCATAGAATTTTTCTAACCAGATGACACCTATCCAAAATTAAGTCTACAACAAGAATCATAAATTAAATGAAAAGGCTTGCCTTTTGAAAAACTGGTAATTTTCTCTTGTGTGAACAATTGGGTTAGAAATTGGTAAAGGCAGTTTCATCTACAAAGGTCAAAATGTATACCTGTATAAAAGACCAAGCCTTTATCATCAGCCTGTGAAAGCTTCTAGACTCACTGAACTTGCCACTTATTTCCCTGCATTTTCATCATTGTATATGAGAAATTATTTTCAGAAGTACAAGAGAAATCAGCTTATATTTAGCTATCACATTTTATACCTTTCAAATTATTTAGCTGTTAAAAAGAATAAAAATGTATTATTTAGGAGTTCCAAGGTACTACTTAGAACAAAGTAATGAATAATTTATGAATTGGTTTTTAGGATATATATATATATATATCCCAGTAAAAGGTAGAAAGTATACTGATCTAGTTTGTAGCATATATATATATATTTTTTTTAATTCTTTTGCTTGTACCTATAATGTAACATTAATTTGATGAAGAATGGGCTTTAGAGTCAGACTCTGTTTCAAATTCTGAGTCTGCCATTAACTGTGTGATTTAGGCAAACCATTTCCATGCTCAGAGTACACCACAAGACTAGTCTAAACATCAAAAGAGATGATATGTATGTGATACTCAACTGCAGTGCCTGGCACATAGTTAACATTCAATTCATATTAGTTACTGACCTATTGATATTAGTCACATGATCATGCATGAGTTATAACCTCCCTGAATTTTACCTGTTCTGCTAAATCTGCTAGGATATTATGAAGCTAAAGGTATAATGTATGTGAAACTGTTCTGTCAACTGAACAGCACCATCACAATGAAAAATGGTGATAGGCTTGCAAGTAAATGATAATGATAATAGCAGTACTAGGGGCTCTAGAACAGAATTAAACCATTTCTGTGTGTAAAGTGATTGATGGTAATTCTGCCAGCAGGGAAGCCAGTTGTATTGGGCAAAACACTTTAGACTACCCCATAAACGATTCCTTTTATGCATGAAGGTAATATACCTCCTTTTACTATGACCTAACTCTCCAGAAGTATGCAGGAATTTCCAAGCCCATCTCTATCTCCCAATGTATCCCTTCTGTGGCTAAGTGTAATAGCAGGACAGCTGTCTAAGCTGTGGGAAGCAAAGTCCAGCCAGGACGAGAATTGCTTCTTGAACCTCATGCAATCATAACATGACTTTGGTCTCTCAACACACATCTCTGATGTGCTGATCCAACCTCTGCCATTCCCACAGCAATGAATGAGTCTGGGATCCAGGGAATACCTGCCACGTGGAATTCATTTGCAATTTCAACCAGTCTTGCTTGGTCTTCATCCCAAGTGACAAATATGGTGTTAGAAAAGGGTAAATATTCACTCTTCTCTGAACATTCTACTGTCACCTCATGAGCCAGATAAAGAAAACTGAGCCTATTACTTGTATAAGCAGAATTCCAAAACTTTGTGAAAGGTATTATTGAAGAGATACCTGTTTTAATTTTCACGCATAGGATTTGCGAAGAAATCAAAAAAGAATAGCTGAATTGAATGCCACTATAAGAAAATTAGAGGACAGGAATACCCTGCTTGGAGATGAACGAAATGAATTGGTGAGTAGAACTCAGAATGTTTTTATTTGTTAAGTACAATGCCATAGAAGTGTAAGTTATGAAAGTGTAAATTATGTTACAGAAGTGCAACACAATAGAGAAAATGCATGCACATTAAAGATACCGTTCAATAAACATTCACAAAGTGGCACAGCCACATAAGCGCCATCCAGATGAATCAATGGAAAGTTACCAGGGTCTCAGATCCTCCCCTCCTTGGGATCCCCTCTCCCGTTCACCATCCTTCTAGATAACCCTGGTATAACTTGTACTTGTCTACATGTCTATAACTATTTTTTAAAAATTCTTTGTACATGGAATCACATGATGTTTGTTTTTTGTCTTATTTTCCTCAGCATTGTGTATGCGAAGTTAATCTACTGTGTTGTGTGTAGGGATCATCCATTTTTATTACTCCATAGCATTTAATTACTATCACACTGTCATATAATACATTTGTTTATTCTATCATTAAAGGACATTTGTGTTTTTAAACATTTTTAAACTGTTTGTAGGAAAATGGGTGGACCCTGAGACCATAATATTAAGTGAAATAAATGAGACACACAAGCTAAAATTTCTGTTGTATGAGAAACCCAAAATGTAAATAAAAAGTAAAATAAATATGGATCGTGGAAAATAGGGAGAGAGTTCTTTCTAAAAGGGGAAGGGAATCAAGAGATGAATCGAGGTGGAAGGGAGAGGAGGAAAAGGGGATTAAAAATGTAAGATGCACCACATACACGTACAGACTCCCCACAAGTAATACAAACATGATGTGTTACAAACATATACTAACAAAAAAACTGAAAAAAGAAAGAAAAACAAAGCAATGATGCTGCTACAAATTTGGTGCTTTACAAATTTTTGGTGCAAACAAGTCCATTTCTGTTGGAATATACAAAGTGGAATTACTGGATCATAAAGAACGCAGAGCTTGGGTAGTTATTACAGTTTCCTAACGCTGTCACAACAGTTTGAATTCCTACCAACGATGTGTGAGTTGCAGTTCCTCCACATCTTTGCCAGTATGCAAAGAAACTGTTAGTTTTAACTGTTTTGGTGTTTATGAAAAATATTTTTATTTTAATCATTTCCAGTGGGGTTGTATAACCTTTCAAAGATCTGCTGGCCTTCGTATTTCCTTTAAGATCTGCTCTTAGGCTTTTGCTCATTTTTTATTGTGCTGTCTTTATTTTTCTCATTAATACCAAGACTTTTAAGTATCATTTGTGGAGCATTTAAAATATCCTTGTCTCTGGCTTGTAGTTTTACATTTTCAGTGGCGTTCTGCATATAAAGGAGTTATTTCCATGCCTTTTTTCAAACATGCTTTTTTAAGCCAAACAGCCCCTCTAGGTCTGGTTTGAGTTTCCTCCTGCAATATTTTGATGGGTCAAGGTACTGCATTTCATTCCAAATCTCTTCTAATGTCATGCAGTTTCTTCTTAGATATGTGTTTTACCTGGAAGTGCATAGGGTAATTTCTAGGTATCAGAAGATTTTTGCATTATCATTTCATGATTAATTTTTCCGCTAATTCCACTCTGGTCAGAGACTATATTTGATATTGTTTCATTCCTTTGGAGTATCCTGGCATTTACTTTACCGACCGCACATATGATCAGTTTTGATCATATGATCAATTTTAGAAGTGTTCCGTATTCCCATGAAAAGAATGTATAATTTATAATTATTACAGTTTGATCCAAGTTTGTCTTATTTAAAACTTACTATACTTTCTAAGGCTTATTTACAACTTTCTTTACCAATGCTTCTAACTGCTTGTTCTCCCCACAGATTTGTCTGTATTTCTTAGTTGTCATTTGCTTTACAAATATTTGAAATCATTCTACCACAAGCATAAAATTAATACTAAGTTGTATGTTTTTGGCACACCTTTTCATCATTATAAAATGTTCTCTGAGAGAGAGAGAGAGTGAGAGAGAGTCTGTGTGTCCGTGTGTATGTTTGTGTAGTACTGGAAATCAAATCCAAGGTTCTTCAGGACTGAATTATTCACACCCTTTAGATTCAGCCACTTCTGAAAAAGCACAAGGCTTTGGGCAACATCTAAATACAAGCCATAATAATTATATCAGATTTTTTTTCTTTTAGTGTCTGCATGATTATATATGTATATATAAATTTAACATACTCCCTTGGCCCCCAAACTCCCCCAAATACAAGAGACAAATCCTAATTTATTTCTTCCCAGTTAAAACGTGTACGAGAAACTGAAAAACAATGTAAACCTCTCCTGGAAAGGAACAAGTGCCTCGCCAAGAGAAATGATGAACTAATGGTGTCTTTACAGCGCATGGAAGAGAAACTAAAAGCCGTTACTAAGGAAAATTCAGAAATGGTGGGTATTACAGACTCTGCAAAATTGTATTATTCCAATAGCCTGGCTTACTGTTTTTCACCACTTAGTTTTAAAACACAATGATACTTGGATTTTTTCTTATGTAAGCAAGGAGACTTTAAGAAAGAAAGCAAGATAAGGTTGCTGTCTTTGAATATTATGGAGTTTCTAAAATTGCAGAACTGTAGGTGTGCTCCAGGAATGTGCACATTCTCCAAAAGCTTAGAAATGGAGAAGCAAGGTGTCAGTGTGCCTCCTAAGCCACAGAAACTTCTTTGCAAGTTTCACCAATGTATGATTAAGAAATCTGCATTGTCTTGTAAGAACTTGTATGATAGTTGGGAGATAGATACCATCACTTATATTATGTGTGGACAAGTGATATACTAATTTACTCCAGAACAGACAGGTATAAGGATCCTCAGAAAACAAGTATAAAGAGTCTCAGAAAATCCTCAATGATGTCCACATTTTATAGCAGATAAAATGTACTTCCGTGTTTTAGTTGGTCTGCATAAAATTGCCTGAGCAATATTCACATTTAGCTGGAATCTCATATGCTTTCTATAAATATGAGTGGCTGGAATTTGTGGTTTTCAAAGTTTCCTCCTATACTTTCTTCTTTTCCATTTCAGAGAGAAAAAATAACATCACACCCACCTTTGAAAAAATTGAAATCTCTGAATGACCTCGACCAAGCTAATGAAGAACAAGAGACTGAGTTTCTAAAACTTCAGGTCATTGAGCAACAGAACATTATTGATGAGCTCACAAGGGTAGGTCGTGATTCACGTGTAAGCTCTAAATTCTCCCAAGCATAGGTAGCCAACAAGCCAACATACAGTGGGGATATTTAATACTTTTGGGTTAACCCCAGAGGCCCAAGTTCTTAAGCACAGTATGTAATTATGCTCAAAAGGCTCTTCCAGAAATGTTTTATATTATTTTACTACTTTATACTTTTGCACTTATGATCCTTCTTTAATTAATTTGGTAATAGCAATAAAGACTGCAAAGCACAATAGAGGAAATTTCAAATTTGTGATTAAGTAAGTATGTAGGGTAAGTTTATCTTATACTTGCTTTCCATTATCAGGGTCCTGGGCCTCAGAAAGTAAACATTTTGCCTACAATAACAGCATTGTGTACCTCTTGTTTCCCAAATCTAATCAATGTCTAGCACATAGATCTAGTTTAATAAATATTTCTTGATAAATGGCAACACCATAATCAAGTGACGAAGCTAGAATTCCAGTTTAGCCTTCTGGCAGTTACTCCAATTACTGCTGAAGAGCTGGAATAGTTACTGCCCTTATTTGTATTTGACTGGGGTGTGTGTTTCCAGGAACTGAGGACTGGCCAGCATCTGGAGGACTGAGATCTCTAGATGCCTTTGGGTTTTCCTCTCTGTCTCTCCGCCTTTATTCGGAGAATATCATCTTTGGTCCCTCCCAATTTATGACCAGGCTAAGACCTGCAAACTTGAGGAAGTTGGAGTGGGAGTGGCGGCGGGGTTCAGGCAAGTCCTACCCCCCCAGTACATGATTAATATGATTGACTCCTGTTGAGAAGGAAAGGAAAGATTGTAACATCCATTGGAAATTATTTATCAATCATTTTGTTAAATGCCTGTGTTGAGTATATGTTTTAATACAAACATTGGATTATCAGGGTAATGTAAGTATATAATGCATTGATTTTAAAAGTCTTAGTTATATGGACCAAAATATTTTTACTTATAAATGCAAAACAAAAAACAAAAAGCCTGAATGTCACTGGCTTAAATCAGATTGTTTTTCACATGTAGGATGAAACCCTGGGTCCTTCGCTTCACTTTCACACTTTCACACCTTAATAACTCATAAATCCACATGCTCACTATTCCAAAAATATATCTGGCTTTGAACATCCTGAAATCAAACTGCAAATTTATACAATGTTGGGCTGCTTAGAAATGTTGATCAGACTATCAGGGAAACATTTATACCATCTAGTTTAAATTTATGCACTAAATATATGGAGTGCCCCAAATTCTCAGGATATCTCCTTTTCCTGAAAGACTAAATAAACTGATCATTAGTTCTATGTATTTTTGTGTTCTCCAGATTATTTTTTGAAGGAAGGGAAGAAGAGAGAGAGAGAGAGAGAGAGAGAGCGAGAGAGAGAGAGAGAGAGAGAGAGAGGGAGGGACCTAAAATTCACCTGGAACCAAAAAAAAAGATAATGACTACTTACAGTAATTTTCAGTAGAGAGAGAGAGAGAGAGAGAGAGAGAGAGGGAGGAAAAGAAAAGATAAAAAAACTAGACAGATTCAACCAACCAGATATACCCTATCTCATTTTCAGGGACTGCAGGATCCCATGTTCTATAAGTCAGCAGTTAAGCTTTTTATGTTTCACAAATGATGTAATGAAAAGAAAAAAGCTGTATTTTAAAATGCTTTTTTAAAATGTAAATTTCCAAGTAATTTTAGACCTGAGAAAACGAAGAACTGTGCTTTAGGGAATATAAATAACTGTTTTTGAAGTTGCTTGATTTTCAAATATAAAATGGAAGATTCTGATATTAGAGATACAGTGAAGCTCTAATTGTGAAGCTCTTGGACCCCATAAATTATCAGGAAAAGAACAATACTTTTACACTGAAAAATCTTTGAGGTTCACCCCCCAAATATGCCAACTTTTAAATAGAAACATGTAATGACTCAAGGAGAAAACAATTTTTTTTGAAAGGAAAAAAAGTAGATAAATTTCTACCAACTCTAAATCTCGAAATTCCATGTTTCCCAGGACCGAGAAAAGCTCATCCGCAGGAGAAAGCATAGAAGAAGTTCCAAGCCAATTAAGGTAATGAGAAAACTAAGTTATCGAGCATTCACCACAAATAGCCAAAGAGGTGAGGCTTGCCGAGGAATCATCCTGCAAATATGTAATGAATCAGATGGTTCTAAAAGGCAGAGACCCATGAGCTCAATTTACTAGAAGAAAATCTTTTCTTTTGACATGTCTTTGAGTCTGAAAATTACTGTGTTGTGGATTTTCACCTGAAAGGGTTTGCTTTAATTTGGTTTTCTTTGAATGGAAAAGCCACTAGGTTTGGTATAGAAAGGCTTATCTGACAAATTGAAGAATTACAGTCCAAGAGCATAAAAGAAATACATACGATTTGATGTCTGTCATTGAATAACACAGTCTTTATTGACTTGGACAATAATATTGATAATGACACCCTCAATCCACTAAAATCTTTAAAGCCTCTGAAAATCTACAAAAGCAATCTTTGTTCATCTCTGTGTTTGATTCTGGTATTTGTTCTTAGCAAATACATCACTTGATTGGGATGTAAAATTGAAAGATAAGACTTAAGATTTGATCACACCCTTCACATAGATGGCTGGATTTTCAAAGTCCTTTGAATACATTTTAAATACTAAAGAGAGTAAATCTCATGAACTCATCATGGTATATAATTGAACATAAAAGAAACTATAACGTTTTATAAGAATGTCCAGATATTAGTTTTTAATGCATAAATCAGAAGTCAAATGGTATTGGATAAGCATTTTTAGTATTACTGAGCTCGTGCCTACTCCTATTATTTTATTGAAGAAGCATTAAGGAATCCATGTTTTCTATGCCCATCTATGTGTATGTCAGCTAGAAGCATTCTGGTATGTCAACTTTCTCGACTTTTAAATGTGCAGTAAATGTATACCTTCCCTCCATGTAGAGGCCTGTTTTGGACCCATTCATTGGCTATGATGAAGACTCCATGGATTCAGAGACATCATCCATGGCCTCATTTAGAACAGACCGGACACCAGCAACTCCTGATGATGACTTGGATGAGGTAAGCTTTCCCATTTTTCTGGTCTTACATGACAGTGCCACCAAATATACCCCTCTTTAAGGGTGAAAAAAAGCACTAACTCTTCATCTCCTTCATGACCAGCACAAAGTGGTCTCGTAGCAGTGATCATGTCTGTGATCACAGTTGACTATGTCACCTCTCAAAAATTAACAACACCTAGGTCATGTGACCTTCTAGAAACTTCTCTATAGTTCAGCTCTATAGCTGGAAGAGTTCTTTCAAATTTACTCTCCAAAATTCTTTATCAAAGGAACATGTAAACCAAAGGACAAGCTCAGAAGGTTTCCTGGATACAGTCTATGTTCAGCAAAGTGGGACCTCTGGTCCACCTTCATCAGAATGACCTAGGAGCTTCAATTACAATGAAAATTGCTAGTTGCAAACACATAATTCCTAACTTACTATTTAGGAAGCAAAACTCCCAACTGAATTTTCACAGAATTCCCTGATGATTGTGTTATAATTTAACACTGTAAATAAGCTATGTCCTAAAGCTATAAATAAGTCATGGATATAAGTATGTTGCAAAGAAATGAGAGTAAAATGTTGAGTACTGTTTCTTCAAATTTAGATCCAAAATCTATTTATGACTCCTCATCTGGATCTAAAGTTGGATGTCATCCAATGGGTAATAATGAGAAACGTATATATAAGTGAATGATTGTTTTATTAAAATAACCTCTTACATATTTCTGCAATGTCTATATTGAAAGCCCACACATACACTTTAGAGTTAAAAATAAAGTCAAACAAAATGATAAATCAAACAAATCTTAACTTCTGCGGGATCGAGGTACAAGAGGTATATGTACCAATTCTCCAGAATGGATGTATCACAAGCATATACCAATAAAAAGGGGAGGGAGGAGTGGTCAAATACTAGTATTTACATTAAACACAGTACTAAACATAACTAATAATTATTTGGCTTTTTTTTAAACCCCAAGAGTTTAGCAGCTGAAGAATCTGAGCTACGATTTAGACAATTAACGAAAGAATACCAGGCCCTCCAAAGAGCATACGCCCTCCTGCAAGAGCAGACTGGAGGCATCATTGACGCTGAACGAGAAGCCAAGGTCGGTGCCCAGAAGCAAAGAGAGAGCTGAGGATTTGCTAAAGAGCTCAACTATTAACCTGGTGATAAAGGGAGCCGCAGGGAGCCTTAAGCAAGAATTTAGATCATGAACATCAGTTAGGAAGACACTTTTGTCATAGAAAAATTCTTTTTTTTTCTGTCACTTCTTGAGTACTAGCAAAAGAACATGAGAGAAAGAAAGATATTGAAGGGCCATTTTACTTGTTGAGTTCTGAAATTTTGATTTTGTCAGGCTCAAGAACAGCTGCAAGCAGAGGTGCTAAGGTATAAAGCCAAGATCGAAGACCTGGAAGCAACACTGGCTCAGAAGGGGCAGGTAGGCACTTGGCTGCTAGCTCTTCCGCAAACACACACCTTCAACTTGACCATCCTCTCGCCCACCCTGTGCATGGGCGGCATCCAGGACACAGCTTGGCACTCCACAGCAGCCTTCTCACACCATGCCAGAATATTCAACTCTGTTTCTGTCCTTGGTGTTTTGCTGGCCTGAGTGCGAACTCAGACACAGCAGGAAATGAGGTTGGACAAGAGAGAGAGAGAAAGAAGCCCTGAGGACAAAGAGCCCATACAAATTGCCTAGAGTTTTCACAAACTGCCAAGACAAAGGACCACACCCCACCCCAGCTGCACCCTTTGCCTCTATGCTACATTTATGGTTCGCATTTTAATGTTTTTCATTCATATGTATCTAGCCTGTGTGCATTCTGACCCTTTTCACTTTTTGCCTGTGTGGTCACTTCTGAGTCCCCGGAAGGCTGGTCCTGGATTATTCAGACTCAAAAGGTACAGGTAGTGAGTGACAATGGAAAGGGGTGAAGTCTCGCTGGCAACTTTGGCCCCATTGGTTTCAAAGAAGTTGCTGGCAGGGATAGGTGTCATTTATCAGTCCTTGGCAGGCAAACAAATCGCTGGAAAGAAGAGAGCTCTGGCCAAGTGGATTGAGGACACACGCTCTTTGGTGCCACCATGAAATGCTGACTGCACAATATTCTCTGTCAAACAGGATTCACACTGGGTAGAAGATAAACAACTTTTCATTAAGAGAAACCAGGAGCTTTTAGAAAAGGTATGTTGGGCGCAACACCCTAGTGGGGCAGAGGAGAAAACACTGAGCGATCCAGGAGCAGCAGGGGGTGCTCTCAGGAGTGGCACAGGGGCCAGGGAAGGGGAGGCTTTTCCGGTGCTGCTCTGTCCTTTGCTGAGTGCTCAACCGCATCCCCATCACTGCCATCATCATCGGTTAAGTGGCACGTGTGCATGGCTCCGCGCTGCGCCTTGTGCAGACTTGAACAGATGTGATCCCCAAGACCCACTGATTTGTTATCACATGGATATATATATGTACTGTACACATATATATATTTACCCATGCACACACCCTGTGTGGTTGTTCGCCGACAAAAAGAAAAGTACAAGTATTATCTTGTGCAAGGAAGTGAAAGAATATGACGCTAAGACCATGTTGCAATAGCACAGATTATATTCTCATTTTAATCAATTTTCTAAGCTTGGCTGTTTTTATTATTTTTTAAAGAAATTTCTTTTAGACCTACCAAAGCACAAAACAGCAGGTCCAGAAAATTAATCACAAACCAAGATGGAAGAGCATGGCTTAGGCCCAGTAGATAGAATCAGTTTTGATGATCTAAACATAGGCTTTTAGTACAGACCATAAATATAACAGAGAACATTTTAGATTCCGGTTGGCTTTTCCTTTGGTTTGTAACTTCTACAAATCCAGCAGAAGATAACAAAATCATCATATCATACCCTTGACAGGAAGAGAACTTGAAAGCCCATTTGAGTAATGGTATTGATTCTATAGGGTAGTCCAAGTTATTTTGGGTTATTTCTGCCAATATTTTCTATGCTTGACAAGTAATGAAAATCAACCACAATGCCATAGTCAGCAGGAGAAGGAAGGGACAGGTTTGCTTGTCTTCCTTCCTCTCTAGCCTGGCAGAGTTGACTTCCTGTCTTACTCCCTGCACAGTGTGAGACAAAGCTGAGGTAGAGAGGGTGGGTGAGTATCCAAAATTGAGAACTGGTGCTCTCAGGAAGATTATAGTTCGCTATAAAGAAACATTGTTGGCCTTGGTCCCAGTCTGTGACTCGAAACCCCTAGAAACAGCAGTCTTCTCAAATAATCACCTCACTCATTTGATACAGGATTCTAGAAAGTAGATTCTCTTCTAGAATTTTCATCAGCTTCTAAAATCTTAGGAAAGTTGATTATACCCCAAATATGTAGTGTAAAAAATAGTGAGTCAATTCCATTAATTAATGTCACATAACTTTCCACTGTTTATCCTCTTTGTTTTCCTATCATCCATAGAATTGTCTGGTAAAAAATGTCATTACATTTCTTTTTCATAAGAATTGATTCCCAATAGATCTTCTATCTGACTTTTTGGTTCAAAAGGTACATTTTTTAGCTTTGGCCTCTTAAGAATAAATGGAAAGCAAAAGTGACACTTATAGCTAAACATTTTACTTTAAATATTTATTGTTAGGGAAGTAAAATTCATCCTATAAATTTAAGAAAAGCATCTCCATTTGTATTTCTAAATTCAAAATGTTAAATAGTTACTGTGCATCATGTCCATCCACACAGCTACTGTGAAAGGAACCCCCAAGCATATTGCAGTTAATCAAGAATGTATGATCCCCTAAATCCAAAGATGACTCAGAAATAGACCTGTCTACAGGGAGGCACATCTGAGCAAGCTAACTCAATTCCATGCTTCATGGGATTGTACGAGAGGTCCTATAAGAAAGTCCACAGGGGAACTGCGGAAGAGGAGTCACTTCAGGATGCGTGGGAAAGGGAAAGCTCTTACAGATGTTAGACCTTAGCGCCCAAAGGAGTGTAGGATTTCCTGTGTTGGAAAGAAGGTGGGGAGCCCTTCTCAGAGAGGTGAGGACAGACAGCACCTGGATAGGGGTTGCTAGAGCCTAGTGTGTGTGATCACAAGTGAGTGTGTAGAGGAAGCCACTGATAACAATTGAAACCGGAAAGCTAGGTGGCAGCCAGATCACTAAGGTTTTTCAATTCCATATTAAGGAGTTTGGCTTCTCTCCCTAGATAATTGGAATTCCACAAAATTTTATATAAGAGCTGTTTTTTTAAATGATTTCATATTTAAAAATTGCTAAGATAGTAAATGTCAAAAGTTATCACCACAGAAAGTCAAGTAATTGAGGTGATGACACATTAACTGATATGATTTAATTATAGCACATATTTACAAAGTATAACATCATTTTGTGCCCTACACATCTATAATTATAAATTGCCAATTAATTATGAGATATATTTATGACAAACAGTAACTCCAGACATGAGACATGTCAATCCCTCTCACACGTACCGTTCAGTCTAGTATTCTGTGTCTGATCCACCACAAAAGTATGTGAGTACCTCAGATTCACTATTCACAGGAGGCCTAGACTTTATCTAGAAGCATCCACATATTCTGCATTTTTTTCCTTGACTCAAAAAATTCAACTGAAGGAAAGTCAGAGACTTACTTTATACACATCTGCTTGGAAATTCTTTCATGGCTTATTTACTGAGTAAATGAGCATTATCCATGCTTGCTTTGCAAAGTTGTACTTGCTTTTTGCAATGCTCACCTAACTTCAGGATTTACTTTATTAGATAGAAAAACAGGAGGCAGAAAATCACCGGCTACAACAGGAACTGCAGGATGCCAGAGACCAGAATGAGCTGCTGGAGTTTCGAAACCTAGAGCTAGAAGTAAGGAAATGATGACCATAGTAAAAGTAATCAAAACATGCACAGAGGACATTAGGAGCCAGGGGCTGAAGCAGGTGTTGATTCATACTCTTCTGTGCTCTCTCTCAAGACAGCTGAGGGAGAGTAAACACCTGGCCAAGTCACCTGATTGGGGTGAGTGGTGAGCCTTGAAGCAACTCTGGACTGTCTGCTCAGATTGTGCTAGTCACATGCTGTGTCCTTCTAGATGAGTCTGATGATTGATCTTCAAATACTTGAACTAACAGATTCAAATGTTATCATTATTTCATTGATTGTAAATAATAATCCATCTTTCATTGAATTATGACTCCTTGAAATGTTGCTTCAAGAATCACATTTCAAAATTTGTTATATGAAAATATTTCACAGTGAGTTTGTAAGTAAACTATTTAGCTCATAATATGTTTATGCAAAAGAAGGCTAAAAAGGAATATCTTATTTTAGGAAGTAACTTGATCACTTGGGCCAAATTTCAAGAGTTTGTTTCGTGGTTTTGTTTATTAAATAAAACATCTAAGTCAATTCAGATTTCAGTTGTATCATGCAGAATCCGACTTAGCGTCTGGTTGAACACATATTAATATGTGAAAGTAGAAGAAAATTTTCCATTCAATTTTTCTGTCATTTTGCAAGTGTTTTCTTCTACAGATTAGCTCAAATTTGATTTGAATAAAAAGTTAGCAGCTTCAGTAAAGAATAAGTCATCTTTGCAGCCTACATATCTTGCTCATAAAGATTGAGTGTATTAAATATGCAAAAGGCTGTTTGCTACCATAAAATCTCGTGGAAAGATGATGCTGCGATATCTGAAAGTTCTAAATATTCGTACATTTTAAATTGGAACAGCACTTCCTGCATCTCCCTGATCAAAAAATTGGCAAGAAAATATTACACTATAATTTTTCTTTCATACTTTGGAGTGAACTAGTCAGTTTTTCCCTCTAAATTTAAGCGCAAATATTTTGAGTTTAATGACATATTGATAAACTACTGAAATAGCATAGAGAACTAGTTTAGTGGTTTTTTTTAAATTCTCATATATTCTTTACTGTATTTCAAGGAGAGAGAGAGGCGGTCCCCTCCATTTAATCTACAGATTCATCCATTCTCAGATGGTGTTAGTGCTCTACAGATCTACTGTATGAAAGAAGGTGTCAAGGTAGGCAGACATTGGATATTTTATTGTTTGTAAGAATTAGAAAAGTGGAGTACTCAAAGGGGAGGGATGCCCGTGACTTTTTTTTGTCTTTCAGCCACTGGATATCATTGATACAAACCATATAGGAAATGAAAATAATCGTATTTGTTGGAAAATCAGTAGAACATAAAATAAATGTGTGATACTTATGAAAGATAATAGCAAAGTACTCAGAAGGTATAATCATTTAGAACAGAGTAACAAAGAATGTTACACCCAGGTGGCACACACTATAATGCCAGCACTCTGGGAGACTGAGGTAGGAGGATCAAAAGCTTGAATCCAATCTGGGGAACGAAACAATTTAGCAAAATCTTAAAAATAAAAAGGGGTGGGGATGCTGCACATGCATACATATTAAGATACCAGCCTCAACTATCTATGGGAGATATGAAATGAAGTCAGTTTGTCAAGAAGCACAGTTCAGGTTGCCAGGTTAAAAATGTACGTGCTGAGAATCTGTTGTAACTTTGGAATTGCACAGTGGAATTTGTTATAATGGTATTTCAGAGTTAGAAAAGACCTTTGAAGTCACCTAGTTCACTATCACTTTTGATGTGTTTAGGGAAGATTTTTCCCTTTTGAGAGGTTTTAGGGTTTATAATTTGTTGCTGGTTAGATAAAACATAATTCTATCTTTAGTGCTACTGGGATATTTTTTAAGTAGTAAGGTTGGAATGAGGTGGTTGTTTCCCAGAAAACACATTGTCATCCAACAGAATGCAATGGCATTATGAATCTAGCTGGGATGCCTCTGCTATTCCCGGTCTCTCCTTTACCTTATGCATGGCCCTTCCCAGTCCCACTCTGAGCTGCCAGATATACCTGCTTCAGTGGCCGTTCCTAGCTATGATGTAGACCTAGATTCCCCCTTTCCTGGTGCTATAATGCTGTTTGCACATGACTAGGAAGTGGTACTAATGAAGCTGAAAAAGGGTGTGAGAAATTAGACATTAAAATTATTCTTTCTCATCGAAAATCACTTTTGTGGTGTCTAAAATTCTGGTCTTCCTGGCTATCTGTAAATGTATAAATCAAAGCAATTTTTATTCAGCATTAATTACATGAAAAGCAATGGTCTTTTCTTAGATTAGATATGTCACAAACAAACAATCCAGTGGATATAACTTATATTCAGGAGAACTGTTTCAGATGAAGTCTGGCTCCTTTAAGCACTCCAAGACTAGAGTAAAAACAATCTGTTTCACACAGGAAGAAATTTGTGCTAATCATCTCAAGCAGTGGATATCTACTGCAGTTTTCTACATTACAGGAAAAATTCAACCAGACTAGTATTCTTATAATTAAAAAGACACTGATTATTACTTTATATCACTTTTCTTTATGCCTGAAATCTTTTATAATTGGAAAAAATTAACAATTAGAAGATAAAAAGTTAACGGCCATATTCTCAGTCCTTATTTAATACTACAGGCATTCACACAGTCTCCTTATTCTCCACACAGGCCTATGAAATATGTATTACTATCTGTATTTGCATCTGAGAACATTAGAAAAGCTTTCTAAAGTTCACACAACTTGTAAGAAGAAACTGAAAAACAGTTGTCCTTGATTAAAAACAATCCAAGGAAATATATGTCCTGCAATGTCCTTTCTAAACCAGATTTCTAGCACTGGTGAAATGTGAGGCTACATGTGTGTCTTTGGCTTGAACACACTTCCTTGATTTTGCAGGATGTGAATATCCCGGATCTCATAAAGCAGCTAGATATCTTGGGCGATAACGGGGTAAGTATGATGAAGTATAGGTGTGTTAGATAAAAACTGCCTAAATAGTGGTAAAAAAATACTTGCCAGTATATCATATATAAAATAACTGCAAGTGATATGCTACATTCACTTAAAGATGTAGGTCCCTGGAGAGAATGTATGATTTGTCAAACAACCTCACCAGAGATTTCTAGAAGACAGTAATAGAAATGGGACTTGGTAAAGCGCTTGTCATGAGCAGGTCTCCAGTTTGAATGCTGATTACATCTGCAGTGATTAAAGCTAATTTCCAGCTGAGTGTTGCTTAGAGGCATCCAGTGTAAAATTCATCAGCTAGGCAGTTGCAAATGCTGCTGAATGAGAGAGCTGTTGGCAGCTTCATAAAAATGGACCAGAAAGCTATTGTTCGTTTTCTTTCTAAAAACTCCTTCCAGATAGGGTCAAGGCATATTAATTCAATAGGAGGATCATTCATTGGATGCAAGATAAATGGCACATGTAGGTTGAAGAAGCCACCATTCCTTCCCTTGAAAAATTATCAAAGGAGGGAATAATATCAATGAAATCGTATCAAAACTGCCATGAAGAGGCTGTTCTTTATTTCATTTCTGGCTTCTTATAACATAACTGTTCATAAAGTATTCTTACAGTGACAAAAAATCAAACCAGTATTAGGGAGAGATTAAAAATCACATTTAATATTTTTCTTTTGGGGTTTGAAATTCATTATTTGTTATTCCTAAACAATAGGAATTTGTTAAGGTTCTCTGAATGCATATATAGTAGTTGTTGGTGGCAGTGGTTCATCTCTATAGAATAAGTATCATAAGTATGTTAATCTTACAGCCTTTACTACTCATTTTTCACAGAATTTAAGAAATGAAGAACAAGTGGCCATTATTCAGGCCAGCACTGTGCTGTCCCTAGCAGAGAAGGTAATGTCATTCTAACATTTCCAATCATCTCTGTGTCTGCCTTAACATTTAAAGAACAGCATGGTGTATGAACAGTCCTTTTGCACACAACTCTGTATTACTGAATGTGGTAAATGTGACACCACCCAGACAGAATGAGAATATACAAAAGAAAATTCTACCCACTGACTTGGAGTGGATAATTTTTACTATGAAGTCCCTTACAAAATATGTCATTCTTGGGAAATGAGAAAGCTTCCGGAGCACATTATTTAATCAAGCCCTCCATTCTGGGTGCACTGCTAAACTGGAGCATTGCTCTTGATCAGACTCTCCTCGGATGTGTGTGCCTATTGTTCCCCACTGTTTCTACTCCTTGGTGGTGGCTCTCTGTACCTCATTCTGAAAGCCCAACACAGAGAGCGACTGGCAGGAGGAAGAGCATCGCTAGTGTGGTCTGCCCCCTTGTGTCTAAACCTGGTAAGCGGTGAACCGGAGAGGAGAAAAGCGCCGCATGGAGTTACGTTAGCACACAGCTGAGAGTCAAGTGGGCAGGTTTGAATAAAATGGGAATTGGACTCCTTACACAATGCCTGAAAATTACATGAAATAATAAGCAAGTAATTAGCTCTGCAGTCTGACATGAGGGAATTCTACAAGTCAAATGACAGTTATTTTACTCAAAGATATAAGAGAAAAAGGGGGGACAAAAATGTTATAAAATAAAAAGATACTTAAGAAACATTGAAATGATCTTTAAATATCCTGATTTAAGCAAACCAATTGTTTTTAAAGACACTTTGCTGTCCATTGGCAACCATATACCAAAGGAAATTAATGGTAATCCTGCAAAGGGTAATAATATTACCACGGCCCCATGGCTATATTTTTAAGGCCTCATTTGTTAGAAATGTTTATTGAAGTATTTACATATGAAATGACATGTAAAATGGAATTTGCTCTTCGAAACCCTCTTCCTTCACAGTTCAATTACAAACGTGATGACGTCTCTCAATGTTCCAGCAGATCCGTTGCATCAGACCCTAATAGCAGGTCTAGAATCCAGAACCTGACAAGGGTGCCCCCTAGGATTTGGCCCTTACTTATTTCTCTAGCATTGCCTCTTCCTTCTCGCTGTCCTTGTCTCTCCCTAGACCTTCTGTCTCAATCTCTATCACAGTCTTCATTCATGATCACCCTATTCTCTTTACCTAGAGGATGTTCCCATTTTCTCTTTCTACCTTTGCTGGCTAAATTGTAATCATGAGACTTCCCTATACACACAGAAGCCTTCCTGCTCACCCAAGCTAGATTCGGCTTTTGGCTCTATTTTCCCATAGTGACATGTACGTCCGCTCCCTGAATTGTCCAATTATACTGCCAGTGGCCACTTACTTTTTTTACACCTCTTCTCTACCTACCACTAGACTCTAAGCCCCATGAGGGCAAGTATGACATCTATTTCTTTTCCTTTTTTTTTCCTCCTAACTTTCAATCAGAACAGCACATCAAATAGGTGATCAGCAAATATTTATCGAAGAAGTAAACGAGTGAATTTGTGGGTGTCCACAAAACACTTCCAGTGACACAAAGGGAGACACAAAAACAAAGCACCCTGTGTACTCATCTTCTTGAAAGCTCAAATATTAGTGTTCCTTTCTATGGTATTGACGTCAGCATTGTGAACAACTGGAATGGTTTAGACTTTGAATAATATAGGAAGATCCTACCACATAGATGGTTGAATAGAACAAGTTATTACACTGGATCTCTATCATGTTAAATGTCAGTTTACACCTAGGGGAGGCAATTGGGCATCATAATTAAGTGTGTGGCCTCTGGAAGTCCTAATTACTTTTTCCCTGTCATCAGTTTTATAGGCTATGAAGTTACTTTTATTCCTTATGTTCCCTCCAACCTGGAGCTGTTGATGATAACAGAGCCCCTTCTTCTTGGAACTTCATCCTCATTTTTTCCAAACATCTCTCTTTCTTCAGACGTCAGTGTAACTGTCATTTCCAAGAAAGCCTCCTCTGTGTCCTTTAGTGGAGGCAAAAAACCTTGTTGGTCTTGTTCACCTTCACAGCCCAAAGCCTAGCACAGTGGCTGATGCATGACAGATGTCACGGCATGCATTTGTTGAATGAATGATACATGGGAGACTATATACAGCCTTGGGTCTGAGCTAAGAGATTAAAGTGCATCAGGTTTTCACATGAGTTCTCGGCCTGCCTCCTGAGATGGGAGGGAGGACCCTGAACAACTAGGAGAACAGCCTACAGGTGTATATTGCATCAAACAAACATGTTGGATGCTTCTGTCTTATCCCCCTAGTGGATCCAGCAGATTGAAGGAGCAGAGGCTGCCCTTCATCAGAAAATGATGGAATTGGAAAGTGACATGGTGAGTACAAAGACAAGGTTGCATAACAGTTAAGGAGCACTTGCAAGGCAAATGCAAAATGAAAGTTGCCATTACCGGTTTTATCTTGCATGAGGAAAGTTTGTAATCTCCCTATTAGTTTTTGTACAGAGGGGTATCAAACATTTTCAAGTTGCATTAAGATGCACAATTCAAAATGTGAGAAGTATCCATCCATGTCAAGTTGTATTCTCCCCGAAAAGCATGTTGTGTTTGATCATATTTCCAAAACCACAGCTGAAGAAAATTGAATTAGGTGGGTTTTTTCTTAGACGAAATAACTCTTCTAGTAGATACAGTTACAAAGTAAAGTTAACAGAAATAGAGAATGCAAGTCTGATTTTAAAAGCTGCCAACCCTGTTATCACAGAGACTTTCTAGAACTGCTTCAGAAAGTGATAAGAATGACAGGAGAAGTGCATTCAAAGCATGGAGAAGTGTTTTGAGGGATTTAGGGTTAATGTGTCTTTTACTGTAATAAATTACTTTAATTTACATATTCACTATATATTTTGATCATGTCTTGTCTATCCAAAAGATTTGAAAGCAGGGACTAGAAGAGATGTTATATTCCTGTGTTCATAGTGGCATTACTCACAATAGCCAAAAGGTTTCAGTAACCAAAATATCGATTGCTAGGGGATCGACTAAACAAACTGTGGCATGTTTTCTAATATAATTCAGCCTACAAAAGGAAGGAAAGCCGGACATCATGGCACACATCTGTAATCCCAGCCTTCTGCAAGGCTAATACAGAGGATTACAAGAAACTCACAGTAGAGAGACCCTGTCTCAAAATAAAAACTAAAAAAAGGCCTGGGACACAGCTCAGTGCAGAGGCCCTCAGTTCAATCCCCAGTACCATACACAAAAAAAGGAAATTCTGACACAAAGTACACTGTGTATGAACTTGGATCACGTTGTGTAAGTGAAATAAACTAGTCACAAAAAGATAAATACCATAAATTACACGCAAGTGAGGTCCCAGAGTAGTCAAACTCATAAAAACAGATTGTAGACTGTAGTTATTAAGGGCTGAGAGGAAGAAAAATAGCATTGCTTAGTGTGACAAGATGAAAAATTTATGGATATTGGTTGCATAATAATATGAATATGTTTCACATTGCTGAATTGTACACATAAAAATTGGTAATGTGATAAATTATGTTATGAATATTTTAACACACTTTAAAAAATTAAATCCCCAAGTGCAGGAATTGATTATTATTAATTTGTAGTAAGTAATTTATAGAATTTTATAACAAGACCTTGTAAATATTATCATTACTATTTAGAAAAAAACATGTATTTGATTCCTATCAGGTTAGGGAATATTATAATAAGAACTGCAACTTGTATTTTTATGGCCTGTCACAGCTTATAAATCATTTGCTTGTATTTTGTACAGAATTCACGTTTTACCAGAGGTTAGGCTCTGCAGTCAAAACATAAAACAAAAACAGTTTGTATTCAGATTTACCCTTGAAATCTCTTTACACGCACAAATGTTAATAAAGCAATCCACTTGTTCCAGGTACTGTTCTAGTTAGGGGTGATCAGGTACCCAAGGGAGATCAGGAAAATCAAGAGCAAGATTACTGCATATTCTCTCAGCACAACTGCCTCCTATCTCACGCCAGCTTTGGGCAGGGGCTGAAAATCGCTCTGAAGCAGCAGTGGGACACAGTGACCACCTACTCCTCAAGCTGCTATTTGTCTTTGTGTTTGCTAACTGTACACAGATGAATTTGAATGTTAAACGTGTTTATTACACAGAGCTGCTGTATTATACTTCAAGCCGTCCTTACAAAAGGCTACTATCACAATGTACAGTCATCTCTTGGTGTTCACAGAAGACTGGTTCCAGGACCCCTTGGAGATAGCTAAGTCCCCAGTGTTCAAGTCCACTGTCCAAAATGGCAGGTGTTTGCATATAACTGACATACATCTTCTTGAATACTTTAAATCATCTCTAAATTACTTATAATACCTAATTCTATGTAAATTGTTGTTGTACTTTATTTTAGAGGGAATAATGAAAACAAAATGTCTATATATGTGTAGTATAGGTATAATTTTTTTTCAAATATTGTTGCTCATAGTTGGTTGAGTCCCTTGATACAGGACAGATGCAAAGGGCACACTGTATCTACACAGACAGACCTATTATTAAACAATTATCTTGTAAAAATCTATACTTAATCACATCCTCTCAGATTGGCCTAAGAATCATGTAAAGCATTCCATGTGGGTTTTTTATTATATCTTTTATGCTGCTTTCTATTGATTTTCAGATTTCCTTTGAGACTATGAAAGTTGAACTATTTCTCTGACAGACAAAAAAATCTATGATTTCACAAATACCAGTGATTTATCTTATGCTGGAATTAGAGAAAACAATAAACAATACCATTTATGTATCACTTTCTAGTTAAGCTGACTCTATCACTATGGCTCTTCATTATAGGAACAATTCTGCAAAATAAAAGGATATCTAGAAGAAGAATTAGACTACAGGAAACAAGCTCTTGACCAAGCATATATGGTAGGTACAATAAGCGACAGAATATTTCTGTTTTCATAATATGGAAGGTAGCATCTTATTTAATTTGCCATGCCATGTATTTAAGTAGAACATGACATGCAAGTAGCTTATTCACTGGTTTACAGTTCTAATTTTAGAACAAGAAAATCATTATATCTCCTTATAATATGCTTGTAATATTGGTAATTACACTATGTTTTTTTTTAATAAATATGTTGTTAAAGATTTAAATGAAGTATATTTTGGATGACAATGTAGGTCAAAGAAGAGTTTTATTAAATCTGATCTAGTCCTTTGGAAGTCTAATCTAGTGGAAAAATAATGTGCTTGACAATTGTGCAAGTTTTAATTAATTTATTTGTCAGGACAACCCTATGGGGTGTAGATAATATTGTTATTCCTTTCTTACAAATGAATAAAGTAAGGCTTAAAGAGTATGAATTTTTCCCAAGTTGGTAAGTAGATATTACATAGATTAAACTTGATATTGCAGCCTTAACTACCCAATCCAGCCGCAATGATCTGGGCTGTGTTGGTAAATGGACTCTGCCTTTCTCTCTCCCACAGAAGATTATGCTGATGAAATGTTACATTTCATCCCTTCCCCATACCAAATTCATATTGCAAGATTCCTTATGTTGGATTATAGCTCGTATTTCTTCTCTCCTTGTGCCCTGCCTCCATCAATAGAGTCATGAATCAACAGAAAAAAAAGAACAAAGTAGAGAAATATTTCAAGAAGTTGCTAGCAGAGGTTTTTATAATGCTTTCCTGGAAACAGCTTGAGTCACTTTCGAGAAAAGAAGGAGACATCCCCTGCTTGTAACAAAGATAAATCAGTCTTCCCCCTCCAGAATGAATACAGGATGCTGCCATTGTTTGATGAGGAAAAAAGACAGTGAGAATTGGTCCTAATTAGATAATAAAGAAGCAAGTGATTCTCCTTTACCCTTCATTTTCTACCCTCTCACACTTTTCTCTCCTACCTAATAAAATTAGGCTGGGTGTTTATGTAGCTCTCAATACTATTGAGTCCATATTCAGAAAACCATAATTAATATTAAAAAGTTGACATATGCTTAATCAAGGACAAGACCTAGGAAAGCATCCCATATCAAGACATGTCTAGTCACTCTTGTGAAAGTTATAAGCAATAAGGCTAAAGATTTTGGAAACTGTATCTAAAGTGGATTAAAAAAAACCCTGAAATATGAGACAGTAGCCCTCAAAGAGAAAACTCAGTGTTACGTTAGTACTAGATAAGCCGTAAATCACAGTGTATTAAAAACAAAACAAAAAAATGACCAATTCTAAGACTCTGGGCCATTTTTGAATCATATTTCCCAATTTTTACTTCATGTAAATACATGGAGATCATAAGCTGTCTTCCAATACAGAAGATTATTATGTGAAAGAGTGGTGGCATTTTGTTGATGAAAATGTATCTCCAATTTCAAGTATTTTGTTCCAATCTAGACCACTTATTTCTAAAAGATGGGTCACCGTGTTAGCTGTTTTTAAATATCTGAAGGGCTGTCAAGTGGGAGAGAAAATGTATTCTTAGTTACCTGTGATAACAGAAGGAGGAATAGTTATTATAGCAAAGGGCTTTCTGTATATGAAAAAGACAAGATCCCAAGAAAGAAAACAGATTTCCTCACGAGAGTAGTTTCATGTCTTACCTGGATGACCTTTGCAGGGTATTAGAAAGGGAATGTTCAGAAGAGGACTTGGGCTGGAGAAGCTCCAGAATCTCTGCTGCGGTGAGGATCAGAGAGGCAAAAGCGCTACACCCGTGTGCACACACGCTCACACATAAGCATTCCCAGCACTACACATAAACGCTCCGTTCCAAAGTTAGACTTTTCTAATTCTATTTGCCAGAGAATCCAGGAACTAGAAGCTACTTTGTACAATGCTCTGCAGCAAGAAACTGTTATCAAGTTTGGTGAATTATTAAGTGAAAAACAGCAAGAGGAGCTGAGGACGGCAGTAGAAAAGTTACGGCGACAAATGCTGAGGAAGAGCAGAGAGTATGACTGTCAGATTCTCCAGGAGAGAATGGAGCTCTTACAGCAAGCCCACCAGGTGAGGACTGAGCCCCTACATTTGTGTAGGTTAGTACTAAGCAAGTGAGACTTAGTACTAATAACATGGTGTTGAGTATTAGTATGGAGAAGCACAGGAGATTTCCAAAGGCTAAAATGAATAATTGTTGCTTTCCACTGTTACTCAGTACAGGATGACAGTTCCATAATAATCTGAAGAAAATTGGCATTTCAGAAACATTACGCAGTGCTATCATTCTGAGAACTACTTTGTGGTAAGATACCTTTTGAGTCTCATGGAGCCTGGCTACTCCTTGCACAGGGAAGCAGGTCACTGTCCCTCCAGTGCAAAATAGTGACTCCTTCTTATTACTCATTCTGGTCCCTAACCAAACCTCATCACGTAATCTAAACAGAGTGAAAGAGAACAAGAGCCTCCCTCTCTATTCCCAGAGCAAACAGCAACAGCAACAAAGTCTGGAAGCTGCTATAAACTAACTGGCATTTGCTATATACCAGGAACTAAGCTGTGTTCATATCATTTAATTTAATCTTCATACCAGCCCCAGGAGGTAAGTATTCTTATGTCACAATTTTGGAGATAAGAACTCTTAGGTTATTAGCCCAAGAGAACATGGGTAGCAAGAGCCAAGACTATAACCCAGGTCTGTCTGACCCAAAGACTGGTAGGTATGAGCATTACACAGTACTGTCTGTCATATGTAGCTTAAGCCATCTGTGGTGTCCATGATTCACCTAGACTAGGAAGATTCAAAACAGGCATTGGGTACTAATTTCCAACCAAATTCTTAATTCCAGCCCTTCACTCATGCTGTAGTTTGACAGGTGAGGGATAAAACCCTTAAAAAAATCAGATTCATTAACAATTCCAGACCTGAAAGGGCCAGGCTGCAGTATTCAGTGTTTTTTGAGCTGTAATAATCAACTGGTATAGATCCAGTTGAGACTATATATGAAGTAAGTATCATATGCTCATCAAAGATCAAGTTGAATAGAAAAAAATTCGAAGTTATTTTATGACATCAGTGAGAACAATTCATACCTCAGATGCAGCCAGGCGCTTCACCTGTCTTTAGAGTCTTAACAGTTTACCCAAATTAGCAGGAAACTGAAGTCATTTGTTCCAAGGTAATAAACTCATGGATGTTTCTATCGATGTACATTGAGAGTCCATCATAAACGCTTGAATTTTGACACATACCTAAGTTTCTAAAGGCTTTAGTAACAGGCTGTGTTCCCCCATTTCATTAGTTCACACATTACTTCCTTTGACCTAGGGATAAATTATATCATTGGAAGGTATATCATGGAACCACACAAGTGTTTATTATTAAGATGGAGGAATGAACATCTAAACTTACTTGTGATAAAATCCTTGTCCCATTTGAGTCTCTCTTTAACTAATAAACTGGTGTGTTTCACTCCCCAAATAATTGTGCTTGTTTGTATAAGTGATCCAGCCTGAGCTGATAGGCACATGTTATTTCCTAGCTTCGGAGACTTCCACTGACCTTTTTCATCTCTGAAACAAATATTCATTAGAAATATGCCTTACACAGTTATTTTCTTACCCTTTTTCTCTTTTAAACATTGGCTTAATTTCAAAGAATCACTCTAGGAGATTTTGGCCATATATAATTATGCAATGGAATCTAACATCTGCAGTATGTCACTAACCATTTATTAGACACTTTTGCTTGAATGTTTCAGAGTAAATTCACATATTCATTGTTCTTCTTGCTTTTCTCCTTTCCCCCAGCCTACCTGTTTCTGTTGGTAGAATGACCTTATCACAAATTACTCAGGCTGAATTCTTCTCCATTATTTCCAAGAATTAGGGTAGCTCCATGCTCAAACAGCATTTCCCCCAAAGCACTTGTGCAGCTGGTTAGTTTTCTTCACATCAGTTACCACAGGCATGTACAGGACATTCCATTTTTGCATCAACTTCCAGTTGTTGCCAAATGCCTTCTGAGGTAATCCAATTCCATTATCTATGCATTTAGTCAAATATTTAAATGTGTGTTTCCTAGTGCTAGACACTGTGCTAGACACAAAGAATTCCCCATGGACCCAACCTTCACAGAACCTAGGAGACTTACATGAAGAAAAATAATTATGACATACCTCAATAAATGTCATTTTGAAAAGCTCATACAGGTGTCATGGCGGAAGACTTCTTTTGCTTCCCTCTCCTATCCACAGTACATCGTATCACCATAGATTCTTCTCACCTTTCCTAATCCTACATTTTTGCTAAAAATCCCTTTGGTCCCAATTTCCACTTAAGTGAAAATCCTGTGCAGATCTCTCCAGATCCTTACTCAATTGGCTACTTCTCTCCCCAAAACTCAACTTGAGACAGATTCCAGTGCATGCTTTTCTTTCCATTCATGGAAACTTCATGGTCACACTTGGTCTCACTTCTCACTTGGACCATGATTTTTCACCTCCATACCTTTATTTGCATGACTGTTTACCCTTACAATGACCTTCAATGCAATGTCATTGCATTTATTCTAATATTCCCATTTTTTCAGTCCATTAATGATCCACATTTCATTGCTCAGGGACATGTATATTTTATACTTTGTTACATATTTATTTGAAACTATATACTGAGAGCCTGATGCGTGCCAGGTACTGGAAAGGTGATAGGGAAAAAAGACAGTAAGGAACAAGGTCACAGCACAAATGAACAATAACCAAGGCAGTTTCCAAGAGCAGCAATAAGTGTTAAGAAAGAAGATTATATAATATGTACATGAATTTGGGAGTAGAATTGGCCACTTTAGCTAGTCAAGGAGGCCTACCTCCGAAGATATTTAAAACCCAAGGAAATAGCCACAAAAAGATTTTGGAAGATGTGCTAGAAGATAGAGAACAGATAAGATTCTGGGGTGGGCATAAGTTTAGAACATTCAAGGAACAGAAAAATGGCTAGTGCAGCAGAAACACACAGTCCACTCACAGTAAGGTTGACTGAAATAAAGTTAGAGAGATAAGAAAGGCCACAACATGTAGGTCCTTGCAAGAGTTTGGGTTTATTCTGAACACAACTCAGCTTCCTTTTCTCTTTCCATTCCCCAACGTCTTAAACTCAGGAGACTGCTGTGGTCATTTTCACATTTTAAAAGTACCGAAGGGCTGATGTGGATGGATGTAGGATGGACAAGATAAGAGACAGGAAGAGTGGGTAGCAAATTGTCTCACCTCACCAGACAGGATAAGAGTGACTTGTACTTGGTAGCAGGAGAGATAAAAAGAAGTAAGTAGAATAGGGATCTATTTCGAGTTGGATGAAGTTTCTTGTTGGGTTGTACAGCGAGGGAATGGGAACAAAAGGAAATCACATCCACATTGTATAATGTGGCATAGTTAATTCACTGAACAAATATATGTGAACAGCTTTTTCATGCCAAATACTGTACTAGGAATTGGAGATTGCTGATAAACTTATACATGACTTTTGCCATTGTTTACCTTTCTACTTAATTTTGTGAGATTTTTTTTTT